TGGTTATCAAGGCAACCCTTACCTCCCTAATGGATGCCAAGGTACTAATTCCCGTGTCCATCTTTATCTGGATCTAACTTATATATTACCCCCGCCATTTTAATTTATGTGTCTTTCTTTTTAATCTATTTCAAAGAGAACGTCGCATTTCTATTTGAGATAGATCCATGATATGAACTTTATGGGTTCGAATTTAAGATTCTACGGCATGTCATCTAGTTTACTGGGTCTAAGATTTATTTTTTGTATTCATTTAGTGCGCTTTTCACACATACAGGTTCTAAGCCAAAGCTACTAGGTTTAGACAAACTCGTAGCTAAGTAACTAGATCCTGGTTTCTATGTTTAGTAAAGTTTTTAATTCCAGTATATATATTTATACCCCTTAATAACACTCCTTCATAGGAATGTAATAGAATGTGTAAGACCACATGATTCAAGGGATACTTTTGGCATGATATATACACCTTTTGTTTAAAACAACGACATTCAAAAGTATTCCTTATACTTTTAGACTTCTTGGTCAATCAAACTAAGACACATAAATGATATCAAGTATTGTTTTAGCACGTAACATGTCGTATTTTTCAGGTAACTAATCTCGCTCTTTATGGATAATTACTTACAGTTATCTTTTAGGTGACCTAAAAGTGTAAAAAGTTCTACACTGTCTGTGTACAGAAGTTAAACTCTTTTTTATTTCACTAATTGAAAGAAACATAAAACTACTACCAAGGCTTGTACTGCAATTGTACCAGTGAGAATTTATCATATAATAGCTGAGGGTTCAATTCTCACTATCGTCTTACCTCCTTTCCCTTCCCTTATCCCCTTGAGTAAAAACAAGCATAAAATTAGACCATTGATCAAGCTTGTTGATAATGAGATCAAAGAACTTTGAGCCATTCATTGTTTGTATCTCTTTCTTATTTTTCTTTGACTTGATGTTAATTTCCACAGACATCAACGAGTGTGCAAGTCAAAAAGGGAAGCATTCATGTCCCAATGATGCTCGCTGCATAAATACTCCTGGCAGTTTCCTTTGTGACCCAAATGATGTGAAACTTATGCTGACTATACAACTCTTCTTAGGTATTGTATAACTCTCTTCTTTGTCCTTTTTTTTGTTCTTATTTTTCTTTTTGTTAAGTAAATTATGCTTTCCGTAACTTTTTGTTTGAGACATATTACTCCTTGAACTGTTATACCTGACTAAGAACTTTATACTTACATTTGTTCTAGCTAACTGCTCTTTAAGAATATTAGAAGCTCATTTATCTTAATCTAAGTTTTAAAATTACAAAAGGGCCTGGAAAATTATGGAAGAAAATAGGAGGAGCACTAGTTCAGGGTGTTCTAAAAATGGATTTATGTTTCTTTTGTATGAAATTGGTTTTCTCACAAGCAGGTGTTGTAGCAGCAGTTACTTTTGTAATCTTGATAGCAGTTTGTCTTTGGCTATGCAAAAGGCTTCAGAAGAGGGAAGAAAAGAAAGCTAAACAAAAGTTTTTCAAGAGGAACGGTGGATTGCTTTTGCGACAACGTATTCCCTTTAGTGAAGAAAGTAGTGGTGGCTCTTTGTTAAAGCTCTTTTTCAAAGAGGAGTTGGAGAAAGCAACAGACAATTTCAATGAAAGTCGAATACTTGGAAAAGGAGGGGCTAGTACTGTCTACAAAGGAATGTTATCAGATGGAAGCATTTTAGCTGTGAAGAAGTCCAATAAAATGGATGAAGATCAAATTGAACAGTTTATAAATGAGATACTTATTCTCTCCCAGATAAATCACAGATACATTGTCAAGGTACTGCTT